TACACAACCCCTGACCTTCCTCCAACATTAGCTGCCCGTCTTGCCCTATGCAAAGGCATCCACTCCAACAAATATCGGTCACTCAAATCCTCCTAACCAACTCCCAACATACCACTTCTGCTCCTTCCTTATCACAACCAATACTCATAACCCGGCGCATCTTGCCACACACTTTAGACTATAGTGCCTCCATTTAGCGTCCCCACAGCCCCAATCAATGCACAGCGCCGACGCTGCCAAATCCAATGCAGTGTTTAACACACAGCTAAGCTTGATCTTCCATTTACGCGCACTTGCTGCGTGGCAACATACGCTGAACGCTAAACAGCCTAGCATGAACCACCAAACACAATCCAGCCTACATTAACGTGCAATCACAGCAGCGCATCGCTTCCTCGAACGCACCACTAAATACCTGCTCAACCACAGAATGACACACTGCTCCACATATACAACCCCTCACCTTCCACCATTATTAGCAGCCCATTTTGTCGTATGCGAATTCATCCACTCCAACAAATATCGGCCACTCAAATCCTCCTAACCAACCCACAACATACCACTTGGGATCCTTCCTAATCACAACCCCTAAAGTAAAACCCACCGCTTCTCGTCACACACGTTACACTATATTACCCCCATTTAGCTTCCCCCCACCCCCCACACAATGCACAGCGCTGCAGCTGCCAAATCCAATGCAGTGTTTGACACACAGCTAAGCCTGATCTTGCATTTATCCGCACCAGCTGAGTAGAAATATACGCTGAACGCTACACAGCCTAGCATGAACCAGCAAACAGTATCCAGCATCCGTTACCGTGCAATCACAGCAGCGCATCGCGTCGTCAAAAGCACCACTAAGTACCTGCTCAAGCACAAAATGACACACTGCTCCACCTACACAACCCCTGGCCTTCCTCCAACATTAGCTGCCCGTCCTGCCCTATGCACAGGCATCCGCTCCAACAAATGTCGGCCACTCAAATCCTCCTAACCAACTCATGACATACCAGTTCGGGTAATTCCGGAACACTATGCAAAACCGAAACTCCACCGCTTGTTGTCACATCTGCTACAATATATTGCCCCCATTTAGCTTCCCCCCAACCCCCACGCAATGCACAGCGCTCCAGCTGCCAAATCCAATGCAATGTTTAGCACGCCGCTAAGCTTGATCTTGCATTTATGCGCACCAGCTGTGTGGCAATATACGCTGAACGCTACACAGCCTAGCATGAACCACCAAACAGTATCCAGCCTCCATTACCGCGCACGCACACCAGAGCATCGCTTCCTCAAACGCACCACTAAATACCTGCTCAACCACAAAATGACACGCTGCTCCACCTACACAACCCCTGACCTTCCTCCTCCAAAATGAGCTGCTCGTCTTGCCCTATGCACAGGCATCCACTCCAACAAATATCGGTCACTCAAATCCTCCTAACCTACTCCCAACATACCACTTTGGGTTCCTCCTAAGCACAACCCATACTCAAAAACCCACCGCTTCTTGTCACACACGTTCCACTA